GCCAACCCTCCATAGCCACAATCTCCTAGCCCCATATATATATATATATATATATATATATATATATGCTCCGAATCTCGGAAATGGAGACCTGAAGAACAAGGGAAAGGAGTGGATGAGTGACAGGGGGAAAGAATGAAAGAAAAAAGAAAACAAAAATGGAATTGCAGACATAGGGAAGAAGACGGTCCAGAGTCTCTGGCTGGGAGAGAAGAAAGAAACAAAAAAGAAAAAAGAAAGTGAGAGAAGGAGAAAAACAGAGGAATGAGTATAAAAATAATAGAAAATGGTTAAAAGTGCCACTTGGACATCCACATCAGCTGATAAGTGAGTTACCGGTTGCTTACTGTTTAAATAACGGATTTGGCGATTTTATGGAACTTGATGGACTTGATTGATTCGAGAAATACTACAAGGACTCAATTGACTTCTTATTAAAAGTATAATGACTTATTTGACAGTTTTTTTATTAAGGAAAAAAGATTTTATTGAATAAAGGAAATAGTACAATGCGAGGAATAAAGTAAAATAAAAGTACGTAAAGAAGAAATGAAAAAAAATAAAAGCTACTCCCACGAGAAATCTCTAGATTGGGACCTAGTCCTCATGCTGTGTCGTCTTTTGTTTTTTTGAGATTTCCTGTAGATCTTCAGTTGCGTGTTCAGATTTTCTGTTAGCAGACAATTTTCAGAGTTTACAAAAGTTGCTTTGCAACAGATTGCACTGTTGAATTTGGATTTCCTGATTTCTTCGGGGTACGAAATAGGAGGACGACGATCGCTTTCGGTTGCATGTCCTAGAAAGTCGTCTCTATAGAAAGAGTCATCAGAATAATCATAACTGTCAGAGGCGTCTGAATAAGCCTCGATCTGTGGCAACTGAGGATGTTTCTCTGAAGATAAGTCATTTTGATTTTCGTTGCATTCTGATTCGATTCGAAAATCACCCTGAATCTGAAAATTTAAGATTAGTTTGGAAATGGATGTAGGATCCTCTGATTCAATTCTGCTCCTCATTTGGAAGATGGAGTCATCCTTCATAGATTTTGGCAGCCCTACAAAATTAGAGAAAACATTGATAAATTGCATCAGACTAGAATTTTGAGGTCCCATAGGAATCTTGATGAAGCTCCCCTTGTATTTGGCGATTTTCACGTAGCAACCTGATTTGTTTGTTTCGAAGGAAACCGTAATATCTCCAAATTCCTTATGTTGTTGAAAACTTGGCTGATCCAAATTTATGAATTGAGATATGAACCTGATAATTCGGGGAGCGATGTCAAGATCTACTTCCATTTTTAGCAACTGGGATTTATTAATTTCTATTTGACAGTTTTCCCTATATTCTTTAGACAAGTAGTTTGTCTCAAGCATGGGAAGAGTAATTACCTTTTGTTGAGTTCACTTTTAACCCAGTCTCATTTCAAAATTGATTGCGAATAAATTTAGAGCCCGTTTGGCGACACGAAAATCAGCTGATTTGGCTGATTTTGTTGAAATTTATAAAGTTCTGGATGAAGTGGCTGCATTGGCTAATTCTGCTGATTCAAGAAAAAAAATTAAAATATATTTTATTAATAAATAAAGAAAAAATTATATGTAAAATAGTTAAAATGATCATCTACAGTAACTTTAGCCAATACAACCAGGATACTCATGAAAGAGTCACCTATGTGAGAGAAATAAAGAGGGCCGCTTCAAAGGAAAAGTGTGTAGGCTCAGTTCTTTAGAAACCCTAGCAAAACCAGGACGGTGACCCATGGCCAAAACGGGCACACATGAGATCGGAACAAAGTTGGAAGGTCCATGTGTAAAGATAGGTCAATGTTTACACGACGGCTGTATAGTTCAAGGACATCAAGTCTACTAGACAGCCAATATATAAACATGTATTTACAACGGAAGGTTCAAAGGATAAAACCTACCTCTCCGTATGCAGGGATCATCCGGTTAACACAACATGTCCTCCTATCTTCGTGTCTTTTTTAAGTCTCGAAAATCAATTTTCATTCATGTGGGGGATTGTTGAAAAAATGTGTTAAAATTGCATTGAATGGTCAATTTGGGGCAGTAATTCAAGTGGGGCCCACTTCCGATTTGGATCGGGTCAATATGGTTTCGGGCTATTATTCGATATGTGGTACACTCAAAATGGATAACAAGTGAATGAGAAATTGATTCTCGAAGTTCACTCGTTAAGATGGAAAGATTGGAAAAAGGATGAGTTTCTAGTGTGGTTTTCCCACACCGAAAAACCCAAGTGATTTTCACTCCTTATAAAGGTGACCCTCTTTGAAGGAGTTAAGATTCCTAGATGGAATGAATCTCTTCACGCGATGGGGGTGCTGATAAAAATCTATCTTTCAAAGATACAATTTAATTTTTGTTACTTCCCGTAACGTTTTATTTTTTTCCAGAACCAAAACTGCTCGGACGAACAAAACCGCTTCTGCTCCGTGGCAGAACTGCTCGGACAGAACGCCTCTTCTCGGCACAAGAACTGCTCGAACCAGAAGTCCTCTGCTCTGCATCAGAACGACTAGGACCCGAAGTCGTCCGGAATGTTACAACAGTTAATGCCCAACGTTCATCTCCTTTAATGCGTCTTTTAAGTGGACTATTTTTTGACATATTAATGTCCAACGTTCTGGTCATTTATGTCCAACATTCGGGTCCTTTAAAGCTCACTTAACACCCAACAAATTCGTCCCTATATATAGCTGGCAGGTGGTTTGCAACAACACATCACACAACACAGTTAGCACAAACATTTTGAGCTAAAAAAAGAGAAAATTGTCCAATATAGGATCAAAACTCAAGGTTTTTCCCAAAATAGTATCATATGTATGTTTTTCCCTAAATAGGACTAACCTTACCTCTTTTACCCCTAATCATATCTAATTAACTAATTGATCTAAATAATTGCCCCCTTAGTTTCCTTGCACAACGTACAAAGGCAGTCCGTCGGTGGCGGCAGCACTGTGGCAACGGTCAGCGGGAAAACGACGAGCTCAGAAAGCACCGACCCCGACCTCGAGGTCGGGAAAATCAAGCTCAGGAATTATTCAGAGAAGGCCAAATACGAGGCCCGACCTCGCGCGCACCGACCCCGATCCCGAGGTCAGGAAAACACCAAGCTCAGGAATTATTCAGAGAAGGCCAAATACGAGCCCGATCTCGATGCCCGACCTTGACGCCCGACCTCGGAAAAAATACCGAGCTCAGAAATCTCCCTGAGAAGACAAATATGAGGCTGACTTCGAGCACGCCGAACTCGGCCCCACGCCAACCTCGAGTAAGGTCAGCAGGAAAGTCATGAATTTTCCGGCAGTGCTTCGGCGGCGGGCGGCAGTCCTGGGGCAGCAGTGGTAAAGGCTGTGAGGGGTATTTTGGTCCAATCACTAATAAAAACTCTTATTTAAGGATGTTTAAACTAGGTGCTCCTATTATGGGAAAAAGCCATGTTTTGCTCCTATTAAGGTAAATCTCCCTAAAAAAACCACCTCCAGCTTTCTGAAAATTCCTCTAGTGTTCATACTATGCTTTCGTTCGCCGGAACAATTAATTGAATGCTCAAACAATTGTTTGCATATGTTACAAACCTAGTCCATTCTAGGCCCATAAACCACCGGTCAAACCCATACTTGACCGGTGTGGGATCGTAACAATACCCTACCTACATGAGCCAAATTTCATCAGGGAATTTAGTTGTTACAAAATCATTTGGAAAATGCATATTGCTAAGTTTTTTTTTAACAATGTCAACTACAATGTCTACATCTAGACACTGTACTTGACATTGTGAAGAAATTTACCAAAAACACAGAAGATCATTTAAATAAGAAGATATACACTCCGTATTTTTTTAGACCCGGTCGGTAAACTACCAAAATCAGTGGGGGAATATATATATTCTACTACGTATTTATTAATTTTATGTGTCTTTCCTTCTCATGCGATGGATACATTGTTCACGTTTTTGGTGTGTAATGACTAATGATTACTTAAATTTTATGGAAGATATAAATTGTACTCCGTATATGCTTATAATGAATTTTTTTGACAAAGATTATTTTCATATCTCTTTTATATTATACAAAGTAAATAATATCCTTAAAAAGTCAATCATTGATTAACATCGAATTGATTAACTAACAAATAGAAAATGGAATTTTTTTAATTAAAGACTATAAAATATTCTTTTGTAAGTATTAATTAATTATTCTATTTCTTAGAATGTTTTTACTTGGATTGTAATTTGCTGATCATGTCTGGTCTGATATGGTCTGGTCTGATTTGATCTGGTCTGGTTTGGGACACATTATAGTCCAAGTAAAAACATCCTTACGGCACAATGATAAAAATATACTTTGTATGTTCAAAATAAAAGTCTTGTTTCCTTATTTAATATTGAGAAAAATATGTGATCTTTTTCATTTCATTTTGTGCCCGATTGGTAATTTAACACTATTATTCGGCTTATCAGACTTATCTGACAACTTTTTCATCAAACACGTAACTTTTGATTTTGTGTGCTGAAATGTGTAATAATAAGAAAAAGTAAGATTCGAGTTACTTTTCTGGTTGTTTTGTCTAAAGTTACTGTAGATGATTATTTTAATTATTTTCACATATAATTTTTCTTTATTTTTATATAAATATTTTAAATTTAATTTTTTCATAAATTAGCAGAATCAGCCAATACAACCACTTAAGTCAGAACTTCATAAATTTCAGCAGAATCAGCCGATTCAGCCGATTTCAGTGTTACCAAACGGGCTCTTTATGTTAATTATTCATATTGCAATTACAAATTATACTTTTCAACCTATATTAATAAGCGTCAAAGTAAACAAAGTCATCCAATATGCAGTGTGACGAATGCAGAACGTAGCGCATTGCGTCTATTCAATTTTTTTACGGAGTAAATAAAAATTTACATTCACATTGGAAATGGTTTTGTAGACAATTTCAATACCATTTACATACATATAAATGATTTGACTGTCTTTCCGATCGAATTTTGAGCTAAATTTTGGTGGATACACTAGATTGATGAGTTACATGTTCAAAAAAATTCATCAAAAAATTCCACCGGAAACCGTCCCAAACGACAGTGTTTGGCCGCCATTCGGACAGAGAAGTGCTAGACCTGAGCACTTTTCTCTCTGTCTATATATAGATATATATGGGGCTGTGGATGTTAGGGTAGCAGCAATGTACGTACCAGCGTCGGGTGCTTAGAGAAACCTAAATAATGAATTAATTTGTTATTCACTAGGCCGGGTGGTTTCAGATGGGGGGTTGCATAAGTAAACCGGTGAATCCGGGGGTGGATGAAGCCGAGGGCCAGCAGGGTCAGGCGCCGATCTGTTTTTGCCCATGGTTAAAGAAGCTGTCCCGAGCGCTGTTCCGCTACCTCCTCATCCTTCTCTACGTGGGCAGCTGGGTCGGTGCTCTCGGCACCTTCTTCGCCCTACCCCCATTTAAAAATATCTCTTCCCAATCCCACCGAGGCATGGTCGGACTTGTTTTCCTTGTGGTTTTTGTAGCACTAGATGTGTTTTTCCGCATCACCATTTGCTGCCTAAGGGTATGTGCAAAATTAATTAGTGTGAATATTTCTCTCTCATGTCAATTGGAATTCATTGAAAGCTTGGATATCCTAGCCAGTGTGTTACAATAAATCACTCCGTACTTCGTATTTGTGTTACTCAAATATGCAATTATGCATCTATCCATCTATCATGTCAATTCAAAGATGTTTAATTAGTGGACATAATTAAAATGCTAGAAATTAAGTATTGATTTATTGATAATAAGCGTCGTACGAATGAATCACACATATAATAACATTTTTTTCCATAGATCAGAGGTGACATTGGTGGGAGATGACCAAGGTTGCGGGAAAGGTCTCCATTTTTTTTACGATTTTTGATAAATTAAAATATTTTTAATATTTTTTGTTTTTAGTACAAATTAAAATATACTTAGGGTCTGTTTGCAACAGCTTCTGCTTTTAAAAAAGTGCTTTTTAAAATGAAATGAGGAGAAGTGATTGAATAAAAGTTGATAGTGTTTGAGAAAAAAGTGATTTTGAAAAGTAAAAGTGGGTAGTGTTTGGTAAAATAAGTGCTTTTTGTGTAATAGAAAAAGTAAAAGCACTTTTGACGCGGAAGCCGAGAAAAATAAAAGTTGTAGTGTTTGGGAAAATAAGTGCTTTTTAAAAGCCAAAAGTTGAGAAGTGCTTTTTTAAAAGCAGTTGCAAACCAACCCTTATCCTATTAAGTTATGCTAAGGATAGAATAGGAAGATAGATTAGAGTATATACTTTAGTCCGTCATATTTTTTGGAAGATAAATAAGATAGTCCTATATTAATTTAGTCCTATTTAGAGCTATTTTCCAATATATATAAAATGCTTGAAATTAAGTATTCATAATAAATGAATGAATGACACATACAATGTTTTGCTTCTTGTACACACCACGGTTGTTTGTGGGTAAAGAGAGAATGTTTTTGTATTTTGTCGATGACACGAACAAAAAACGAGACGTGTACACCAGGCATGTACAAAAAGAAAAATTCAAAGGCCCAATGTATGTCGTGTTTGAACTAATTCTGATTCTACTTCTTTTTTAAAGCAGAAATAGAATCAGTTTTCAGCAGCTGGTATTCCCCAGCTTATAAAAAACTGATTCTAGGAGTAGATAGGGCACCAGAAGTATTTCTGCACTTCTACCAAAACACTCTATTAAAGCATTTGTCCCATACCGGAAAGCTATAAAACAATTAAACATTATATAAGGTTTTGAGCTACTCCTCCTATCAGGGTTGACCTTTTAGGATGGAACCCCGAGTCTTAACATGATATCAGAGCCAATTCCGGTTGTGGTTTGACGGCTTGTTTAGCACCCATGATTAAGGGTAGCTTGTTAAGGCTTTGAGCTACTCCTCTTATACCTTTTAGGATGGAACCCCGAATCTTAACACACTCCAACTTCTGCTTCTGCTCTCTAAAGAATCAGATCCAAGCACTCCCATATAGTACCTACTTTTCCCTACTTTTATTATATTTATAATTTCCTTTTCTTAATTGCCAGGAACGGAATGTGTTTGAGCAGCAGCACGGAATGTGTGTAGAGAAAAAGGTACTAACAATAATGGAGATAGGAATGTTTATAATTTTGTTTTTTACGTTTATCAATGAGAAAAGTGATGAGTAAGAGGGAGTAGAGAATGAATATACTCCGATCCGAGCTAACTGGCTCAATACGCTACTGATCAAAGGTCAGGTGTGGTCCACCGTGTGGAGATCAGTGTTGAATTGTACGTGGCATGGGTACCGCCGGTGTTCCGATCTAGCTTCCAGTCTTCAAGCTTTTCAACATATGTATGTGTTTACGATAAAAAAAACATATGTATGTGTTTGCTCTTTTTCTAATTTGCAACATCAAATTCAAGATGTATATGTCTTGATGAATTCCAATGCCACAAAAATATGAAATAATATATCTTTTGATCATAAATGAGTGTCTTTTTATTTTAATATTGAAATAACTCGTAAGATACATTTCCTATTCATTTGCTCAATACAAATCACTCTTAGTATTTTTATATATCAAAATTTTATGAAATTTAATTTATTTTTTGTAGGCTTTGTAGCGGTTTTAATGTAGTTTCTGAATATGTAAATTTTATTTTCTAAAACTAATTTGAGTGTTGACAGGGATCAATTTGCTTTATCGTCAGTCAAACATCGTAAACTGTAAAGTGTCTTACAATTTGAGACGGAAGGAGTACAAAATAACCCCCAGACGGTTATTACAGATTCAATCGTAAATTCTAAGAATAGACTTAGAGTCAGCCACTTCATACAAAACATCCTAACTGGCTAGACACAAAACGGTCAATTTTAAGCCTAATACGATCAAAACCGAAACACTTCCTAACAAAAGTATTCGAAATATCCAAATATTCAAACCAAAACTACTGGAACTAAAATAAACACAAGTACTGCCAAAGCAAAGATAATACTGAAATAAAGTCTTTCCACAAAACTCTTCTTGGCATGGAGGTGATTCTAGAGGAGAACGAGCTGTTGCAATATGAGTGAAAACTATATTCTTCTTCTTTCTTCGTTTCAGGTAGACATAGATATAGGTGGAATAAAAAACAATCTTTATACCTCTACCATTTTTTACGGTGCCCAAAATAAGACAGACATAAACTTCTGACCAGTCAAAACTGACAGGGACACCAAAGCAACTCCTCACATTGAGTGAGACAAAACACCACAAAACGTACGCTGGTGCCCGAGAAAGAACAAAACAAGCACAACAACACCAAAAGAGTAATCAAGATGGATCATAACCCTATCAAACAATCTCCGACAAAATTAGGCCAATTGATGAGATGCAAGCCAGGTCATCACATCAAATAATAGGGATGCTCGCATTATTGAGACATCGGATGAAAATGAAGTGGAGACCACCAATGAAGTCGAGGGGTCTATATCTCTTGGGTCCCATGATACTATTCCATCAAAGATAATATAAAAGCAAGATAAAGTGGGCAGCGAGCCAAAACAGTGGAATTCTCTATTCCATAACAACTGTGCACCAACGAGTGGCCTTAAGCTCGAATATTTCCCTCCCACGGGGGAAAAACTAGATTTCTCGCATCTAAAGGTCCCTACCCTTGTTGCAATATGGGGCTATTGTTTGGTGGGCTATTTTTCTGGAAGGTTCCCCGGGTTGAAAGCTATACATGTTATAACTACCAAATGGGAAGTGAGGGTTGACGTCAAATCTCATAGTAAGGGGTGGGTTATTTTCAAATTCAAAAGCGAGGAGGACCGGATGCATGTGTTATCCGGGGGGGCCTTATGTCCTATATGGGAAGACTATGTATCTCAAGGAGCTCTCCGATGACTTTTCCACAGATTCTGCAGAGTTTCTAAAACAACCCATTTGGGTAAAGTTCGCGAAACTGTCCATGAGACTTTGGAAGGCAAGAGAAATTGGAATGATAGCCTCACAAGTGGGATTTCCAATCACAATCGATAAAGTCACTCAAGATGCAGTCTATCCTCATTTTGCTCGTGTACTTATTGAAGTTGACGTTTCAAAGCCACCGGTTATGCAGTTCCCAATTGTTCCGCCGTCGGGCAAGGAGTATATGCAGCGAGTCGTCTATGAGACCTATCCAGAGTACTGTTTCCAATGCAAAAAATTTGGCCATAATCCGTTCACTTGCTTGATACTAAATCCTCCTAAGGATAAATCTCGGATGGTGACTACTGCAAAGGATAAAGGGAAAGGGCTTGCTCTCATCTCCCCGGGTTTAGAAAACAATGATGAACGCCCATTTGTGATGGTGAACTGTAATAAAAACAGGGGGACTTTTGTGAGAAAGGATCAAGTTACTGTTAATGGAGCTTCCTCTTTAATAGCTACTGGATTGCTACAACCTGCCCAAAGCCATGATGGTGCTTCTACTTCTAAGCCCATTGGAATGAGAGGAAAGGAGACTACTGCGGCCGAACCTACTGCCAAGAAAATGCCTATTGTCCCAAAACCTGCTGCCAGGGAATCTAATGCACGGCCTACCGTCCCAGAACCTGCTGCCATGGAATCTTATGCACGGCCTACTGTCCCAGAACCTGCTGCCACAAACTCTAATGCACTGGATATCATCCCAGAACTATCTATTGATACTGATCCTATTTTTGATTGGGTGGGGCGGCTGGTTAAGAGCGTCCACGAGCTAGAACCGGATGACATTATTAACAAATTTGTAACAAAGGAAGATGGGGCGCGCATAGCATTTGTCAAAAAGCGTCATCAAATTAAGAGCTATATTGCGGTTTCCAGGCTAAAGAAGAATATGCAAAGGGAAACTGATCTAGAAGCTCCTTCCATGGTGTTCACTGACCCTTGTTTGGTTGCGCTCCCGGGAGTTAGACGCACACGAACATGGTACAATTTTAATAAAAATATTTTTACTCTTAATGTTGCTAGCTTCTTTGATGTGCAGGCCCGCCATAATGTTGATTTTTTGCAAACAAAGCAACTTATGGCCATTGAGTGTTCTCCCAACTTGGAAATTACCAACCTGGAAGTTGCCAGTTCACTGCCTAATGCTGCAAATGCAAAAAATGACACCTCAGCCGCTGCCTATGTTGAAAGCCGAGGTGACCCAGCCATTAATGGGGGGAAGGGGTACCTGGTCACCAATATGTATGAGATGGGGTACGATGATGTTGTCACAATGGTCTGCTTGGATGAGAAAAATAAAACTATTGCATATGCGTGGGAAACAGACCAAGTACCGATGGGAATTAACATTGTCAAGTTAGGGGCAAACCTGGATGAGCTCAATTGGGATGATACCGGGGTTAATTTCACTAAGGATTTTTTACTTAGCTGCCCGGAGGTTAAAAAGAATGGTGAATGGTATGATTTTGATAAACCTAACTTTATTAAACGTGTCTTATCATTCTTCGACGCTAACCTTGACAGGAACAAGAAATACTTGAAAGAGATGAGAAGAAGAGCTAGGAAAGAAAGCAAGGAGAAAAGAGGAATATACCCTGATGATGAGGCCTTTTCCTCGGACTTCTATCTCTCTTGAACTGATATCTTTGGGGGTACTCTCGGCTTTTATTATTTTAAAATTAAATGGTTAAAATACTTCCTTGGAATGTCCAAGGTTTGAACAAAACCTCTAAGCATAGTCTAATTGCTAGCTATGTTAATAGTAATAATGTGAGTTTATGTTGCTTTCTTGAAACTAAAAATGACCACGGCTAATTTTAATAACTATGTTCTAAATAAATGGCCGGGGTGGGTTTGTGAAAATAATTTTAATAAAATAAATGGAGGCCGTATGGCCTTGATGTGGAACCCGAATGTGATAAATTGTTTTGTTCAGGTGGTTGAGGGACAATATATGCACCTTAAATGTGTGTGTCGTATCTCCCAAATGGCATTTTTATCCACTTTTGTGTATCCGTTATATACTGTTTTGGAACGCAAGGCATTATGGGAAGAACTTGCTATTCTAGGGGATGGTTTTACTGAACCTTGGGTTATAGCGGGGGACTTTAATTGCGTTTGCGCTCCAAATGAAAGGGTGGGGTCTACCCCACCTACGACATATATGATTCAACACTTGTTTGATTTTAAAGTTCAAGCTAGCCTAGAGGATGCACCTTCTACGGGTGAATTCTATACGTGGAATAAAGGTGCACTTTGGGCTAAGCTTGACCGTGTACTGATAAATGATATTTGGTGTCAAAATGGTTTAAATGTAAGGGCCCATTTCCACGAATGGAGGTTGAGTTTGATCATACGGCTTCCGTAATATCAATACTCAATAATTCCTCTCCAAGGCCTAAACCATTTAAGTTGTTTAACATGTGGATTAAACATCCCGAGTTTGCTAATTTAGTAGCGCAGGGTTGGAGGCGAGACATTGAGGGCACGGCGCAATTTTCTATGGTTAGGAACTTAAAGCTATTCAAGAGGCCACTTAAAGACCTAAATACCAAAGAATTTGGCGACATCTCCAGCAAGGCGAAGAGGGCGAAAGAGGAATATAAAAGATTGCACAAACTATCTCTCCAAAATCCGATGGACGTGGATAACCGAAACCTATTGGTGGAAGCTATGAAAAGGGCAAAGTTCCTAAGTGAGGCCGAGACTAGTTTCTACCAACAAAACGCGAAGGAAAATCACATCCTAGAAGCGGACAAGGGGACGAGGTACTTTCATGCGATTATGAGGAAGAAGACCATCAGAAATGCCATCTCCTCTATCACCTTAGAGGATGGCAACCTCACCACCTCTTTGGAGCAAGTTGGGAGTGAATTTGTAATTTTTTTTTGTTGATTTGTTTGGTACTAATTCTGAATGCCACCTCCTAGACCTCTCGGTCTTGGAAAGCGGTCCTATGATTGAGCCGAGTGCTCACTCTAGCATCCTTGCTCCGGTTGAATTAATAGAGATTAAAAATGCTCTATTTGACATCGGCAATGACAAGGCACCAGGACCGGATGGCTATTCATCCGCGTTTTTTAAGTCCAATTGGAACTTTATTGGGAATGACATAGTCCGGGCCGTCAAAGAGTTCTTTCGTTCGGGTAAGATACTAAAGCAAATAAATCACACGGTTATTGCACTTATCACAAAAACGAATCACTCGCCGAAGGTATCGGACTATAGACCAATCTCTTGTACGAATGTGATTTATAAAATAATTACAAAAATCCTAGCGGCTAGACTCTCTCCATGCCTTCTCGGCTTGATTGACCTAGCCCAAGGAGCTTTTGTTGATGGACGCCTCATGTTTGATAACATATTCCTTGCCCAGGAACTTGTTAGAGGATACACGAGGAAGCGAATCTCACCTAGATGTATGATCAAGGTGGATTTGCGTAAGGCCTATGAAACGATTTCTTGGACTTTTCTTGAGGGGTTTTTAAGGGGTATGGGCCTCCCCTTGAAATTCGTTGGATGGGTTATG